CTCTCTCTCTCTCTCTCCTCTCCTCCTCTCTCTCTCTCTCTCTCTCTCTCTCTCTCTCTCTCTCTCTCTCTCTCTCTCTCTCTCTCTGTATTTTTCTCTGTTTTTTTGGATAGATAGTGAGATGGCAACATATGGTATCCCAAGGACATCCTGAATCATTTCTAACATTCATGCTTAGAAGTCCCAGGGTAGTCATCAGTTTGGTAATATATATATATATTAAGCGAAAATCTCAATGACCTGAATTGCCACAATTCCAAGCATTAAACATAATTTTCCAAAAGCAGAAAGACATAATAATACAATGCAGACAACTTTCAAAAGGATAACCTTCTTAACCATTTTTTTTAAAGAACTTTTTTATCTATCAATGAGATATATGAGATCATTCAAGCCCTAGGCAAACCAAAAACAGTATAAAAAATTCCTAAATCCTGGAACCAAAACCAACCCAAAAACTGACCACATTTCTCTGGAGATGATGCCCAAAACGATGAAAATTTGGGAAATCATACTTTAGCCCACCCAATGAAAGGTCATGATCATCTGATGAGATGGTGTATGACGACGGAGAGAGAGTATGACCTACCATCACCATTTAAATCATGTACTGTTGTGGTGGGTCTCACTCTCTCTCCATCATCTTGAAAATATTTTTCTTGTTTTTTTCCCTTTTTTTTTAATGCTAATTGGGGACCTTGGTAGGACTGTGGAACCCCACCACCCTGATCACCCATCCTAGGGACCTTTCATTGGATGGACATGAGACCATCAGATATGGTTTCTGTAGGCCACTGGCCTAAAGCATACTTGCCCTTAAAATATAACTCAAATCCAGGATTTCAAAAGCCACAAAGAGAATTAAAGTCCTTTTTTTTTTTACTAATCAATTAAACACATGTTTCCCAAAATTTGGAGACCTTAGCCGAACACATGGTTTACTATGTGTAAGATTTAAAAGGGTCAGCATACAAAGATTAACATATCCTCACATGTTTTTTACCATAATAATAACAAAAATTAAGGAATTGGGAACCCATACCCCTGAAACCTTCACATATTGACCATCTTTTGCGGTCCTGAGCTCAGCATCAGGATAACCACCAAGGAAACCAGTCACAGCTCTCCTCCCCCAACAAGTATTCCAAGTGAAAAGCGCAGCCACAAAAGTGAAGAGCACCACAACAACAATGAGCAAGACAGCATTGTGCACAGCACCAAGAAAAAATCCACCAGCTATGAACCCCATCACAAATAGCAAGCTAACCAACCATAGGATAAGCTTTGGAATATTACCCATGAATGAATAATCTTCTTCATTACTCAAATTAGTGACTGCCTGGTTAGCAACCGACAAAGATTGGAGCTTCATGGAACCCATGGATTCTAAAGGGCCCGATACCTTTCGAGGTGCCCCTGAAGAGTTGAGGGGCCCCGAAGAAATTGGACCCGAAGTGATTAGTCCAGTTGTAGGAAGAACAGGTGGTTGGGGGCCTGAATTTTGACGAGATAGTGAGCCCGAAGTCTTTTTAACAGAGTCTCCGTGTCTGTTAAGAGGCCCCGAATTCGATTTTTGTCTCGATGGAACTGAGTTCGAGAGAGAAGCTGACAAGAGAGGGCCTGAAGTGGAGAAAGCAGAGCGAGAACCAGTGGAATTGGATATGGGTCCTGAGTGATGAGATGCAGCAACCCCAAATGATCCAGTTCTTGATGGGGCATTGGAGATAGGACCTGATTTCTTTGATTTTGAATTATCAACGGGTATATCGAACATTTTCCCTAGTTCTCCTGATTTCTTGATGTCACCTCCAGTGTAAGGCATGGCAGAGGAGGTCATGGTGGGTTGCCTCTCCTTTAATTGTTCAGGTCGGCCTGAAACATAGAGGCCATTGCTAAGCTGATGAGATGGGAATCTTGAACCCATGGTGGCAACCAGTAATTGGGGGATTAAACTTTTGGGTGCTTAACAGATCTCTGAGAGTGGCCGAAGAGAAATTAAGACAATGGGGAGGAGAGAAGCTTCTTGGAAACCGAAACAAAATTATGAATCCTCATGATATGGTTATTAGCTTCTTCATCCAGTTTCTTCTATCACAAATAAATCGCAATCTGAAACAATGAAAGTGAGAAAGATGTTAATCTTTTCCCTTCAATAAACAAGAAATATTTTTTATTCCTCAGATAACTTCGACATTATCCACAAGAGTCCCGAACAGTTGTCTGATAAATCATAACTGATTCAAAAAAATCAGGCACAAAGACAGACACAGAAAGAGGGAGAGAGAGAGCTGCTAGCAACACATCCTAGCACATACATTATCCACAATTAAGCCATTATACGTTGCATGATAAATCAAAATTCATGAAGAAACACAAGAGTGAGAGAGAGAGAGAGAGAGAGGTGTCTTAATATCATGACAAGCATACACATTATCCGCAATGAGCCATTAACAGTTGTGTGTAATCAGACTTGATAAAGAAACATCAGTCTCCTATAATATCAAAAAGCATGAGCTTTCTACCAGATCAAAAAATAGGAGAAAAAAAAAACAATTCTCAAACAGATCTGTACATAACACAAGAGCCCATAATGTGATTTCCCAACAATGCTGAGACAATGGATGAAGAACAAATGACAAGAAAACAGGCAAAAACATCAGAACACACTAACCAACATCTCAAACATGTATTAAAAAAAATGAAAAAAAAAAAAAAAAAATAGAACATTGAAGTCTCTCTGATTGGATCAATTTCATATGAGCAAAAAAGAAAAACCAAAATGGATGCATTATTCTAAATTGAAACAAAACCAGATAAGAGAGAGAGAATACCTGAGTGTAGAGAGAGAATGAGCCTCTGGTAATGCCTTGAAGGGGGAGGAGAGGAGTGAGAATGATGGATGAGAAAAGAAATGGAAAAAAGCAAACGGAAATGAGAAATGTGTATGTGTGTGTGTTGTGTGTGTGCGGGGAGTGATGATGAGGTGTGTTGGGATGTTTGTTGTGAGAGAGCATCGCTCTCATCCCCACCAACTCCTGCTTCCCATCCCCTTTTGCTGCTACCCAAAGCTCTCTCTCTCTCTCTCTCTCTCTCTCTCTGTGTGGGGTACACGTTAATTGAAAATGAAGTAGTAACTAACAACCATCACCACCATTACCCATTACCCATCTCCTCTCTCTCC